GTAGTATATGCATGGGTAAGGAGAAGAGTTGTGGACTTGTCCCACGTTCATTGGCATCATGTCATTCTAGAAAGTAACTGCTATACTTCAGGTGCATCCATTTTAAGTTAAATACTTTGTAGTTCTCTTTGGGTTTCTTTCTTGCAGAAGACTTCAAGTAGCAATCAGATATAACACTTTTCCTTGTGGCCATGCTTGTGCCTAATCACAGAATTTTAAAGAGGAGAGGTCTAAGAATTTCTTTCTTAGAAAGAAATTTCTTTTAATTTATGTAGAAACTATGTTAACATGATTGACTAGTTTCATAGATATAATACTAGTTCAATAAGATTTAGAAGATTTGTAATTGTGACTAACATTTCTCCCTGTTGTTGCTCAAGGGTTTTTTGTTAACTTCATCTGAATATTGTTTTCATGTGTAATTTATGAGAATGTAAATAAAGCCTTTTTTATAATATGCATAGGTTAATATTTATCGGTTAGTCACAAAAGGATCAGTAGAAGAAGATATTCTTGAAAGAGCCAAGAAAAAGATGGTGTTAGATCACTTAGTAATTCAGAGAATGGACACTACAGGGAAAACTGTACTACATACAGGCTCTACTCCTTCCAGGTATATTTGGGTTTTTTTTCATATTAACTTATGCTTAAGTATACTTGACTATTTGAGTAAAAATGTAAGTCATTTCACTTGGTTAATAAAAGGCAAACAATATGTGGTAAGGAGTTATGTAAGTAAAGACTGCAAAGTATATTGGTTTTGCACTTTTTTTTCCCACATATTAAATATTGCTTTTATTTAAGTCAAAAGGAAGTTTGACTCACGGTTATAGTAATTTGAAAAAATTCACTAAGATAAAGTATTTGTCTGAAACTCTGTATTTCAGCTCAACACCTTTTAATAAGGAAGAGTTATCAGCAATTTTGAAGTTCGGTGCTGAGGAACTTTTTAAAGAACCTGAAGGGGAAGAAGAGGAGCCTCAGGTAAATGGAACAGTGCATCTACACTTGATGGACAGAGAAACTAAAAATGCATATGAATTGTTTTGTTGTAAAGAGAAACTTCTGTTTCAGGAAATGGATATAGATGAAATCCTGAAGAGGGCTGAAACTCGAGAAAATGAGCCAGGCCCACTAACTGTAGGAGAGGAGTTGCTTTCACAGTTTAAGGTATTGCTCTGTTCCCTCCCTCCTCCCTTAATTATACTTTCTTTTATAAATGCTACTTTTTCTTTTGTGCACCTATTCATCTTTTCTTCATTCTTATGAAACAGGTGCAACAGTAAGTCAACTCTTTGGCACAGAATGTCTTTTCACCTATACAGGGTAATTACTGCCAGTGCGAACATTAAAAAATACATAATGTATTTTGCTGACAAAATAAGGAAGAGATTTACAAATACATTAGTCTTTGATTTAATTATTAGAATACTGAGGAGGGCTGTTTTTCATTTAATGCTTTATATTGTTAAGCACCTGTGGTACTTCTAAAAACAGAGAATGAAGTTTGGATTTCTTAGTTGATGACTTCTACAAATTCCTTTCAGCCCCCCTGTAAACGTGAATGCCAGATATGCTTAACTGGATAACACTTAAAATATTAAGTGGGTCCAAATTGTGTATGATGGTTTGGGGTTTTTTTCTGTGTGGATCTTTTTGTTGTTGTTTAGGTTTGGTGTGTGTGGTGTGGTTTTGCTTGTTTTTTACTTTGAAGCAGGACAGGACGTTTTTAGATCAGTAGAGTACTAAATCACTTTCCTGCTAATCATTCATTTGCAGCATATTGTGATTTCTACAGTTTATTAATGTTTGTTCTACATTATTATTGTTTCATATTAAATCAGGCATTCAGTTAGACTTTTCTGCTTTGAAGGAAATTAAACAACAATCACAGCTATTAGAGAGTCATTTCATAGTGTTTCTATATTACTCAACTTGTAAAAGAAGAAAAAGATTCTCATCTTTATATTCAGCATGTTGCATAGTGTGTACGTTTCATATATGAAAATACTTTCATTAGAGACAGTGCTTCACAAAGCATTCTATATGTGTACATTTTGTGTCTATATAAATAAATAAAATATGCCATTCTGAACTTAGTTTTCCTAAAATATTAATTACTGACTCTTTGAATAAAATAATGTATTGATTTTGTGAAAATACTTATGTTCCAATACATAAGGTGGCTAACTTTTCCAATATGGATGAAGATGACATTGAGTTGGAACCAGAAAAAAATTTAAGAAACTGGGAAGAAATCATTCCAGAAGTCCAGCGGCGACGAATAGAAGAAGAGGAAAGACAAAAAGAGCTTGAAGAAATATATATGCTCCCAAGGATGAGAAACTGTGCAAAACAGGTAGCTCTGGGATTTGACTTTGATTTTTTGTTGTTGTTTGTTTATTTTTTCACTGCTGTTGTTTTGGCCTGTATTTTTTGGTTGGGTGGTTTTCACACATGGCGTGCCTCTCCCCCTCCCCATTTTTGACAGGCTAGATAACACATTAATAAAATGTTTTAGTCCTATAGCTTTTGACAACTTAATCTGAAATTCCAGATCAGCTTTAATGGAAGTGAAGGGAAACGCAGTAGGAGCAGAAGATATTCTGAATCTGATAGTGACTCCATCTCAGAAAGAAAACGACCAAAAAAACGTGGACGACCACGAACTATTCCTCGAGAAAATATTAAAGGATTTAGCGATGCAGAGATTAGACGGTAAGATGTGGGGGGACATGCATGTTTAAAGGGACAAAACATAATTTTTTTATCATTTTAGAGTTTGAAAATATGGAAAGCAGTTTGTTTTTCCTGAACTGAGTGGAAAATTTTTATTCTAGGCATTTAAGGCTTGACTCTGTGTACTTTGGGGTGGTGACATAAGGAACTGCCCTCGGGGACAAGGGAGCAAAACAGAGCTGACAGAGCTGGCAGATCTTTAAGGACGCTTTCCACAGAGCGCAAGAGCTCTCGATCCCCAAATGTAAGAAATCAGGAAAGGAAGGCAAGAGACTGGCATAGCTAAGTGGAGACCTGCTGGGCAAAATAAAGGTCAAGAAGGAAATGCACAGGCAGTTGAATCAGGGACAGGTATCCTGGGAAGAGTAC